TGTGGCGACTCCACAAATTGTGTTTTATCTTATACCAAAAGAAAAACACTTACTTTTTCGAGACGAGATTTAGAAAGTAACGACACTTTTTTTTCACCGGGCGGAAAACCGTCTCGACAATTGTAATTTAATTTTTATATTTTTCTCTAAATTTTAAACTTATATGCTCGACAAAAAAATTGTGTGTATAAATACACCATTCAAGTATTAAACATAAATCAAATATAAGGAAAACTTAAATTAGAATAAAATTTGATGGAAATCAAAATATATTTATACATAATAAAATTTAAAGTTTTTTTTTTAATAATCTTAAGTAAGTACAAGCCAATATATGTTTAAAGATAGTTCTCAATCATTTAACATTAAACTTTTACATCGCTAACATTATTGATACTCGAACTCAAAATCTTAAAAAAATAACAACAGTTTCTTTTATGTCTGATGTCATAATTAATAGTTAAGGATTTTTTATTTTTTATGTTTGTAGCTGAAGCTAAGTTAATTAATGAAAACGTAAGTACATAACTACATATTAGATATAAACCAAAGACGTGCCGACCTATTTAACTATCAATTAAAGGTCTCTAAATGCTTAGTCATCCAAATTTATCACACGTGAGGCATTAATGTTATTAAAGGTTCATATCACCTATTCCTTTCTTTCTTTTTTTACCAAAAATTATATAATTGATCCTTTGTGTTTTAATCGTTAAATTTCAAATAGAAAATGGGTAAAGCAAATAACTAATCACTAAACTCTGTTTAAATGAAATTTTGTCACTAAATTTTCTGAAGTTATTAAAAGATCATTAACTTCTCAAACGATTACAAAATAGCCTTTAAACTTTATCAAATTATTACTAAATAATTATTAAACTTACCGAATTGTTTTAAAATGTTTCTTAAACTTATTGAAAATTTTCACTATTTTTGTAATAGTTTGATAAATTTAATGGCTATTTTACAACATTTGAAATTTCAATGACCAAAAATATAATTTCATCAATATTTAATGACCATATATTTTACCCCCAAAGAAAATCCATATAAACTAAAAAAAAAAAAGCATTTTGAATTCTTTGGTCAAATCTCACGTCAATTTTTTTTAATAGTTTGAGATGACTACGAGATAGTATTTATTCAAAATCTTTCTCAGTTATTTACGACGTATACTTACCTCTTGTAATTATAACTACTTAAACTCATAATCTTTAAAAAGAACTTTATAATTGAGGCCGCTTAATAAGTTCTCTATTTGAAATTATTAATTACTCATTTTGATCGTATATAAAGGCTTGAAATTATTAATTACTCATTTTGATTATATATAAAGGCTTAATTAAGAAAGATGGAGGATATTCAAACACCCTTCTCAATTTATATTAATAGGAAATAAAAAGCTATGCAAGTTAGGCAAATATATAGTTTGTTTGAACTTAAATTCTCATACCATGGAAATCGTGCCTACACGATATCTACGCGCAAGGCAAAAGTTCACGGCTTTAATATATGACTAATAAAATGCGTTATTGATTTTGTTATTATTTTATTAATAAAATTAATAAAAAATTATTGAAAATATTATTATTTTTATCAGTTTAATTATTATTGGACGCTCTACTGGTTTTATTAATATATTTAGTAAAGCGCTACCGGTTTATTATTTTTTCTACCGATTTTATTATTATTAGACACTTTATTTAAAATATTAAAAAAATTAATATTTTAAATAAAAATAATAATATTTTAAATAATTTTTTACCGATTTTATTAAAATAAAAATAATAAAACTAACAATAACTTTCTTTAATCATATATTAAGACTGTACGGTAAAACTTCCGGTACGCAAATGGCAGCTCACCTTATCAAAAACCAAAAACCCGAATCTCCTAATCATATCTTATTATTGTTTAACCTAAATTTCCAAAATCAAAAAATAGGCTTAGAGAGGCTTTGAGCCTCTGTCTGTCCCGGGCTCTCATTCCCTCCATCTTCTATGTGCCGGTTTTGGAGCCTTGGGGAGTTAGCGTTTCGTTTCATTTCTCCCATGCAAAGACGATGAAAAGGAAGATGTGCCCTAATCTGGATAAACAAGACGCCCTGGAGGCCGTCCTGGAAGGGCCTATCCCCGAAGAAATGTACATCCAAATGGGCACCAGCGCCGCTTTACGGTGGCGGAATCTCCGAGCTTCCATGAAGGCACACTCGACTACTTTCGGTAATATACCCACTGCCCATCTCCAAGCTAAATCGGATAATGAGTTCCAGGCTTTGCTTAAGATTGTTGGCGCTGCTCTCATCCCTTTCCGAGTCCATTTGCTCAGTTGCTCACTTTCGCCTCCCCTCAAAAATTTCCCCATTGTAAGTACAAAAACACTCCCATTTTTCTCCCTCAAATTCTAAATATCATTCTTGAACAGGGATCGCCATTATAAATGAGACGTGGAATTTCGTGTTGAAAAGAACTTATAAAACTTTAACAAAATATTTATAAATAGAAAGTATGTAGTAAATATTTGAAATATATGAAAATTCATCCTTAGTTCAGTCCAACTATTTTATTCGAGTCTTATTTTATTTTGAAAATTTAGACTCGGGTCAAGTTTATGTGATCAGGTACAGATCTAGGTGAAAAAAATCTGATTGGCATAATATTATATATTTAATAATAAGTACAATGATACTCTTTTTTTTAATTATTCCTTATTTTATTTAATAAAAAGTAGTTATATATTTGTATTTAGATTGGATGGGGTTTAATCGAGTCGATTGCTAATTTAAAAAAATATTGAGTTAGGTAGGAGTGAGAAAACTCGAGTCGAAAATTTGATTTTTTTCGACTCGACAGTTTAAGTTTAAGTCAAATCCTTCGGATTTGTATGGTATATGGGAATTATATATGAAAAAATTTGAAAATAAAATATATGTATTGTATATGGTTATAAAATATCATTTTAATTAGAATTAAATAATGTTATAATATTATAAATATTTATAATTAAATTTAAATGGGAACTCAAAAATTTGAGTCGACTCGAAAAAATTTCAAGTCAACTCCGAGTTATAAAATAGTACTCGTCAACTTAAATAACTCAAAATATTTTGACTCGACTCGATCGAATGCTCATCTCTAGAGTCAGATAAGATTCTCTTAAACTTAGGTTGGGTGTTGATATAGGTGGACAACTCCAATTTCTGCGACGGATTAAGGTGGACCAAAAATCCAATCCGACTCCACTCGTTTTCCAACAAACATCAATGATGAGGCAGTTAAAATTTTTTTGTAGGAATCTTCGACAGCAAAATATATAGTGCACCAGTACGTGGCGGCGTGTGGAGGGCATTTGACGTTGAGTTCGACGACGAGCATGTCGGCGGTGGGGCACGTCAAGACGAGGGGGTCGGAGATGCAGGCGGGCGATGATAGCGTGCAGATACGGAAGGGGAATGAGGTGGGGGGGGGGGGGTTCGCATTGTGGCAGAAGAACCCTGATCTTTGGTATTTTGAACTTGTGGTGTCTGGTTACAAGGTTTGTGCCGGCATTGATGGCAAGGTGGCTTGGAATCAGTCTTACTCTCAACCCGGTCATGCTAATCGAGGCCTTCCTAGACTCGTTTTTTCCAGGTATATATTTCCATTACTTTTACTCCTTTTCTTGTCTTTGAACATGAAATCAACGTGGCAAGCCCCAAAAGACGTAACATTGTCTACCTACAGCATTTTCTAATTGAAGTCACGATTAATTTATTCTACTCATTTATAACCTGAAATTAAATTTGATTGAAACTAGACTTGTTAAAGTATCAGGTTGTTCATCCTCCATGTTTATCGATACGAAATTGAAAGAATTTGAGTTAAAACTAGTAGTTTCAAAATGGGCTTGAGCAAAAAAGAAAATAACACTAATATAGAACGACCTGTTTTCTAAGTTCATAATACATGATGTTATTTTATGCAACTTATGAAATAAAATTTATAATAATATATAAAACACATTGTTTTAAATGATATGAAGGGATGGAAATCAACTTTAAATTATTCATATATAAATATAAAAAATTACATGGAATTTAAGAGTCATATTCTAAGATAAATGGAATTTAAAGAAACATAAAATATATTATTGGGATACGAAAACTCAACTGGTTGTATAAAATTGTGTGAAATCCTCAGAGATTGGGTCCGAGGTGTACGGCTAGCTTATTCGAAGAAGCGGTTTGCATCGTAGAGTGGAGAGTGGAGGACGAAGACTGCTGCGTCCTCAAGCTTGAAACGGCCTCAAGTGTTCTCAGAGCTCAGAGTTCAGATCAAACGGAGATCATCCATCACACCATCCGGGGATTTCAGTCAAAGAACTGCGCTTCTCGTGAAATTCGAGGACGAAAAGCTGGTGATGATGAAGCCATCGAAAGGGAGCGACCGTGTCTTCTGGGACACCAGCGTGGAATCGATGAATAAAGATTACAGACAAATCGATGGCATCAAAGTAGCCCAAAGTGGGAAGACGATAACAACGCTGTACAGACACGGCAAGTCCATTAATCACAAGAGGAAGATTGAAGAAACAAGGAGGATTGATGAGGTTGATTTCAACATTTGTGGATTGCCTAATGAAACTTTCCTGCCCCCTGCCGATCTTAAGAGAGAGCATGAACAACAACGATTCATAGATTTTTCTTTGTACATGTAGGACATAAATCATGAATTACTTAACCTTCCGAGGTTAACTAGTTATTTCAACTGTTCGTTTCGAGTTATAATTATAGTTATAACTGTACATATAAATAATATAATGAATAATTAATAATTGGGATTTGTTCAGACAAACACTAAAATTATTAAATCTACCCAACTAATATAAAACAATTACTGTAAAATTCGATAAAGTTAAATGATCAGAATTACTACAAAATTATCACTGAAAGCGGTAAATAATTGAGACTTCAGCTGGTATCAAAGATTAATTGATGAAACAATACAACCCTTTTAGTGATCAATAAATAAACCTCTCCAATAAATAAATAAAAAGACTGATCGCAATCGACATTACTCCAACAACAAAAAGAAAAGCTTGAGCCAATTCAATTGCCCCTGCTCTATAAGGTTAATTAAAAAAGAAACCCTAGCTGTGCACATTTACAAACAGTAAAACCAAATGTATCTACAACTAACTCCCCCAGTCTCAAAAACACTCGAGATCTATCAATCTTCTACTGTCTGAATCTCACCCATCATAATCCGGTTGCTGACCACATTGAATCCCAGAACAGCCGGACTCACCTTCTTTCCTTTCTTCCCTTTCTTCTTCCCTCCCCCCTTCAAAGACCCATCTGGGCAGATTCCGACATCTTGGTCAATATCCATAATGCTTGTATTGCCGTCATGTCGCCTTTTAAAAGCATTCTCAAGCACATCAGCAGGTAGCAATTCCTTGTAGTTGAGAAATTTTTCAATGAACTCGTGATTCGGATCAAATGATCCAAGGTTCTCTACAAGAAGTATCTCAGCCTCGGATCTAGATTGCTTCAAACAAAATTCCAAGAAACTTGTATCTGGCAAAAAGAATAAGAGAGATACAAGATTTAAAATCAACCGAGTATTAACCAGCATCATATCTAGCAGAACTATAATTATAGTTTCAGAGAGCTTGGACAAGCAATGATCAAAAGGAAATCATCTTAGGCTTGATAAGAGAAGCTGAAATCAAAATTTATATGATCAGTACTTTACCAACATCGTTTCCTACACATAGGCATACCTTTTGTTCCAACAAGCCTAGCACATTCGCTCTCACACCAATCTCTGAAATCCATCGCCTCTGCATGATAGTTGAATGCAATATGATGTTAAGTCTTCCAAGGTAGTAAAATTCATATTGAGACATTCATCTTACTAGAATGACTTACCAGAATGCTTGGTCAACATATCTCTTTTCCCCTTGAGGGAGGACTGAGCAGAGGCAGGAGAGGATGACGGAGTACGCTCAATAGTCCTGCCACCTACTGACTTTTGCCGACTTAATGACCCACTTGCATTTCCTTTAGTAGGTATGCTTTTTGTTCCCCAGCTGCCCACATTTGCTAGGACTGGGAAATCACCTCTGTTTACCCAAAAAAAATCATATATTCAATTAGTGATTAACTTTTTTCCTTCCTTCAGTTTGCATATTAAGTCAGCGACTGAGCAAGGATAAACTTTTTTGCTTCTGCAGTTTGCATGGAGGCAAGAACCAATATAAAGTCTAGTATTCGATAGTATCAAAAATGGAAAAAAGAATTCCCATACAAACTCCAATAGCTTCGATAATTATTTTTAAGATGAAGTGATAATTTCAATTTTCCTTTTATCAGAAGAAAGACACCCTCCAGCTGTGGTACTTAGCTGCTCTGTATAACATGGTTCTTTAGAGCAGGCTAGGAAGCAGTTGAAATGACAAGAACCCAACTTTCCAACCCACTCAGTATAGCAAGGCAGGAAATGCTAAACAAAAGTAGAAAAAATAGTGTATTACTTTTTTTCTTTTTGGCAAAGGGGGAAGGGTGAGTAGGGTAAGAGAACATACTGTTTTGTTTCTTGCTTTGTCTGATCACTCGGACCCCAGAATAGATCATCATCTCCTTTATGTTTTGACTGAGATGCATGAGAATTTATCTGGACTGGAGATGCAGTTACCGACCATGATGAAACACCCACGGGAGTTGACGGATTTGGTTGAGATTTATGAGTTGTTATCGGATTCGTGGGCTGGGCAGTGGTATTCCTATTCTGCTCCTTTTGGATGTCCCTTAATGATGTGGGTTTGAGAAGTTTCTTAGAATCAGCAGACCATGCTGGAGCAGGAGAAGGGTTAACTGCCTCCTCTTTCCAAGGAACAAATCTCCCAAAGAAGGACCTGAGGGAATTGAAGGCAATACTTCCTTATCCAGCGGTGCTGGACGGGATCCTTTGCCTTTCTCAACAGTATTTGCACCAACAAGAAGGGTGTCAACAGTACTAAGAGGAACTGAAACTTTTGCTCCTGTTCCCTTTGCTTTGGCAGACTTTTTTCGGCTCTTTTTAGTTTCTTTAGCCTCGATAAAATTGTCATCATCAATAGGTTCCACATTTGTAGTAGTAACATTGGCAGATGTACAATCAGTGCCAGGAGCATCTGCATCCCTTTCCCTGGATTTTGCCAAAACTTCTTCTGCCAGCAGGTCATGCAATGGGCTCTGTTTACTCACTGGCTTTAAAGAACTCTCAGTGAACACAGTAGCTAACACAGCTAAATCTGCATCTCTTTGAGTGTCACTAGAAACTTTGGGTTCTAAACTAGACACAACCCCAGCCCACGGAGTTGACAAATTGATAGAATTCACAGAAGTAACCTGTGATATTGCCATCACTGTTTGAGCCTTCCTCTGTTCTTCCTGTTGGATTTCCAATAATGACTTTGGCTTGAAACCAGGAGCAGGTTTCCAAGCATGTATGGACGGCTGTACAATTGGGTTCTGCACTGGGAAAGAACCGGAAAGTCGGGACTCATCCTTTAGTTCTTTGGTTTCATCGTCAACCGCCACAATGTTAGCACCTGGAGAACTTTTAGCATAGTGAGAATCCATTGGGGAAATACCTGAGTTGTTCTCTTTTATCATTCCAGGAGACATCACATCAATATTATGTGCAGCACTGTTAGTGTCACCAACAACTTGCGCTTCAGTTTCAGATGGTTTCATTTGCACTGAAGAGGAAGGCTTGGAAAGTCCCTTTGCAAGGTCAGACTGTGATTTACCAGCCTTTTGCTTTCTAGACTTCTTTCCAGAAGTTTTTCTTACTTCATCAGCTTCAGCGTTCTTATATTCTCTCACTACAGAAGGCTGCTCATTGCTTTTCTCTCTTTGAACTTGCAGTTCATCGATAGAAGCAGTAGGTTGAACATCCTCACTAGGTGTGTCAGTTTTACATGTTCTAGCAGTAGCAGTTTCATTGTGTTCCAAGGTTCCACAACTTGCATCATTCACAACGGGTACAGCTGGTACAGTTTCATCTACCTTCTGAGCAAAGCCCCATGTCGGCTCCAAAGTAAGAGCATGGCAGTTTGAAGCAAGACGTGGCTCTTGCACAAGGGAAGTCTCCTGAGAGGATAAGTTAACTTCCAATGAGGGTGAGCTTTCAATGATTGTTGTCACTGGTAAAGATTGTTTGATGCTATTAACCAGTTCTGGTGCATTGGTCCCCAAGCTGTTCTCACAATGTGTACTACTGAGCATCTCATGAGATAGAAGAACAGGCCGAGATCCAGAACTAACAGCATCTCTCATATCTCTGGAGACTCGTGGAGGCAGATTCATTAAGTTAGAAGCATGTTCATCTACGGTGCCTGGGATCATCGAACCAGTCTCAAGAATATCTAGTGATGACGGCTGAAGTCGACTGGGATCCATGGATGAATTCCCTGTTGGTATTGTAGTCTGTAGGTTTCCATAAGAGGGTTCACCAAATAGCTCCTGGGATTGATGTCCTTGCAAAACCAGTGAGAGCAATTGTTGTTGCCGTAGCAACTTTTTCTGTTCCTCCTGTCTCTGTTGCTGCTTAAGCAACATGATCTTTTCAAGCAGTAACATCTGTTGTGTTTGTTGTACTGGCGTCTGGGGTAGCTGCAGCATTAAATACTGCTGCTGCAACATATTTAACAGTTGGGAGTCTTGAGGAAATGTTGACGAGAAAAAATTTTCAGGTTTTAAGATGCCAGATGGATTATCCACAGGTTGAAGTAAATTATTCAACCAAGGTTGGGTCGGTGTTTGCAGCCTCTGTTGCTGGATCCCAAAGGGTGCTTGGGTAGGAAAATTTTGAGCATGATTTATCTCAATCTTTTCTTGAAGAGGATCCAAAGCACCCTGTGCAGGGAAATTCAACCAACCACCTACACTATTATTTACCCCAGGAGCAGACCTGCCAGGTAATCCTTGGAGGATGGACATCAAATCAGCAGCTTGCGAATGAGGTGGCTGAAGAGTGCTATCAGTCAATGATGCGAGGAGTTTTGCATGTGCTGCAGGTGATTCAGAGATGATGTCTGGTTTTGATACCAAAGATGCAGCATCTCTCCCTGGCCAATGAGGGTAGGGTTTTGGGATTGAACTCTGCCGTTCCAGAGTCATTCTCTTGCCCAAGGGATACAGATCACTCCCATTTTCTGTTCCAGATACCAGAATGCTACCAGGATTATTTGAAAGATATCCTTGCAGACCCAATGCAAAGCCATACAAGACATTAGGCAGGCAATTTGATATTTATGAATTAGAACCCTAGAATTACCTTCAGAATTCAGCAAGTAAATACTGTGTGCTATAATAAATAAACGTATGAATCTGTGTGTAAAAACCAACCTTGGGATGAATTGTTCATGCCACCGGACATGAGTGACTCCAGAAACCTATTTTCAGCTTCTGTTGCAGGCCTTGGCTCATTTCTGATCATATCAATATCACTTGCACCAGAATGAACTTTCCCGAGGCTACTAGAATTTTGCCTGCTTGACAAATCTGAGAATTCACCCTGCTTTGGCACACCAAATCCAGGTGGCGGCTGGGCTTTAGCTCTTAAGTGGGGCATTACATCACCAAGTAAGGAAAATGGTGAGTCCTCCGGTGCACCTGCAAGCCGAACTTCCAAATCTATCCCAAAATATCCTGCCTCAAACCAACCTATGATATCAATCCCAGAAAAAGGCCCTTGAATTTCACCTTGAGGATCTTTGTAGTGAAGGACAAGCTCCTCCGGAGCAGGCAGCTTCCTAGACTCGGGTTCCCCTTCCAAAACAACGGATGACTGTCTCTTAAGGATAGAATCCTCACTGGATTGCCAATTTCCTCCATCTCTAGAATAGGATGAATTTGTCACATTACTTTCTTGTTGGTTAATTATATCTTTCCGTGGTTGTGACCAGCTCATGTCGGGGGTTATTGACCTGACATCATTTGGAATCTCCTTCCAGTCCTGTTTGATTATAGATGATTGTTCTCCCAATGAAGAGGCTCGCCACACGGTGCAAGGATTAACAGAGTTAGTGACTAGTATACTTGATTCCCTACTTAAGGGAAGCTCTTCATCCCTTCTGTAAGGACCCCTATTCTCCACAGCTGCAATAATATAAATGAATAGAGATCACTTCTCATAGTAAAAGAACTGAGAGACAAGAAAGGAAAGCAATGACATAAATCTACAGAATACAATGCAGTGTGGTGAATGTAAAACAACAGAAAAGTTGGAATTCAAAGAGAGCAAACTCCAGATCCTGAAAACTAGACAACCAATCCAATGGACGCACAAATGTAATCCACAATTATTAATTATATCCTTCCACATAAAAACTCAAATAGCCCTTAACCCCAAGACAAACATATTCAAGTTGGTTATCTGAGTCATCTTTTTGTTCCAACCCATGTAGTAGGGATTCTTTTGTTTCTTATTCTTAAAAAGTAGCAGTAATTGTTTAAAACACGTATCCATGAAATAATTTCTCATATGGTTCAAAAACTTCAATTGAGAATACCTCAGATCCAAAGAAATAATTGAAAGATGGTTTCCAGAGTTGTTACCAAATACAAGCTAAATGGTTTAAGTAATTATACCTTCCGATTTGAATTTAGTATCTGGGTTTCCCTTCAGCTTTTCAAGCTGTGAATAACTGTTATTTAGAATGTCAGAACTTTCCTCTTTAGAATCATCAACATCAGGTGGTAAATCTTCTCTACTTCCTGCATAAATATGTTCCAGCAAAACTTAGACACTCCTTCGACATATAAACAAACTTACAATAGAATACATCTTGAATTTTTTGAATACCAATTTTGTTTCGTCTTGAATGAGTAAACTCAGTAGAGTTCATGATGGCAGTCCCATCTTTAGGCATCAATGGAGCACCACTATTTGTTATGTCCCCTTTGTTAATTCCATTTAGAACAAGCTATCAAAGAAGCAATAAAATCAACAGTGGGTTCTAAATCAAGGTTTACCATCATATACATAAAAATTAAATAATAAAAATAACATAGTACCATTTCATCAGGGTTAGGAGCACAAAGAGCTAGAGGATCCAATGGTTCATTATGTGTAAGTGAAGGCACCGATACAAGCTCTTCTATGAGTTTTTGGTAAACTCTCATGTTAGTCCTCATATATAAGTCTAGCAATTTTTTCCTACTATATCTTAAAGGGGATGGCTCCACACGGTCAATATCACCCTTTTCAGATATGATTCCCAAATTTTGATGATGGGAAGGTATACTAGCCCCTGGGTTTCCACCAGAACTTCCCCTTGCATGGCCAGCAGAAAATGTTGAAGGGTGACTTTCACCACGTCCCCGGCCATAAGAAAACAAGGGAGCCTGTTTGCTTGGAGTTAGTGTGGGGTGATGAGGAGGCTCACCCCTTCCTCGACTTTGAGAAGAGGAGGATCTCCATGGCCGAAAGTAGTCACCCTCCCTCACATCCTTTCCATGACTGGAAAGATGAGACAACCCTTTGTCAAGAGGCATATCACCATCTCTTCCGGAGTCAGCCCACTTCTCTCGTGACCTTTCATTGTTTTTAACATCAGGCCCCCAGCGTGTGTTCCATTTGCTCTCACGCTTTTGATCATAGTTCGAATCCCTGTTACCTGAATCGGTCCACCGCTCGGTGGGTGCACGGCGTGCTTCTCCAAATTGTTTCGAAGGCAAGTCTGCCCATCGATCCATCCTGCGAGTGTCACCGAGCACTTTATCACCATCCCTCCAGTGATCTTTGCGCACAGATGAATGTGTGTCTCGTTCTTCATCACGCCAGCGTTCTCGCAGACCAGTTTCCATATCAAGTAAGGATGGCCTAAAAACATCCTTCTTTGGGTATCAAGCATCCCCTCATCATTTCCCAGTGGCTTCACGACTTCGGAACGATCTCCGTTAGCTGTACACGAAGCAGGACGATTTTCCTGTATGGATGATTGAAGCTTAAGAAGGACAGAATCTAAGACAGTAAGAATATCAAACAGAAGATTTAACTAATTCTTTAGATGAGAATAGTATGTAAATAGAACACTGGAGAACACACACATACAACATGAGACCCATCTATAAATGAATAATAACACCATGGGTCAAATAACAGATAGCTTACGCAACAACAATAATAACATACCATAGTTCCTATTCCAGGCTTACTCTCCCCAGGCTTTGAAAGAAGCCATTGTGGTGAAAGCGGAATAGGATTGTCAGATCCTTGAACATCTACATTAAACAAACAGAAACATCAATTAGAGACAGGCATATATTCAAGCAAATATTTAAAATCAAAATGCTTAGTCCGATACAATGATGGTGAAAAATAGGTACACTAGAAACTATTCAAGCCCTAATTTTGTTGAAAGAAAAGAAAAACTTCTCTGAGAAATGATCAAATTTGCCTCTTGAAACTGTCACATTGATTTATCAATGAATAAAGAAAACCAAACAGTCAAACACAACAGAAAAGCACATGCTTTAAGACTAGATATACGTCATTTAGGAAGCTTGTTTGACTTTCAAACGAGGCGTTTCGAACTAAAAGTAAAGCAGAAAAAATCTCAGCAAAACCTGTTGATGAAGCAGCTAAATATGTCAAGATTTACACAATCAATTGTCGATACAAAGCGAAGGGGTCATTTATAAATGGAATAACAATTATGCCATTCTATATAATCAATCCCATAAATTGATAAAATTCTGGCATTTGATAGAATGAAACTGAAGAAATATGGCCAATACTAGTTTTGAGATGAACTTATCAGAAAAAACTGAACAACTTCAGTACATCCCTATCACATCGTACTTTTCCATTTGAAAAAATATATAATTATATATATCAAGTACAGTAAGTCGGAAAGTAAAGTGGGCTGAGCTAGAAGCTCATAGAAAAGAAACCTGAAGGGAAAAAAGGTTCCTTTTCTAGCTGATAAACCAAAAACCCTAACTTCGTAGCAGACAAAAAAAACAGCAACCTCGTAAAAACACTGAATCCATAATAATGCCATCAGATATCAAAACGAAATCAGAAAAGTTGGAAATGACAAGAGTTAGGGTTTTACAAAAAGACGAATAAAATAAGCCGTTAATCCTTAATTCTAGGAGGAGAGACGAGATCGGAGAGGTAAACTACCTTTGGGGATCGGAAGGGGAGGGTTGACGGTGAGGTGGCAGCGGGAATCAGAGGCAGATGAGTGAGCCATGGATGATTGCTGAGAGAGGCGGAGAACCAAATGGTGCTGTTTTTGTTTGTCGCTCGTTTTGTTTTCCCTTTGCTTTGCTTTGGTTGCGTTTTTGAGAGCGGAAATTTAAGTTGGGCGAAAAAAAATATTAGCAAATATGGTAAAAATGTTAAAAAAATAAAGGTTTAATTATAAAATAAATATCCACACTATAGTGTTTTTCACGAATGAGTTCCTAAACTATTTTTTGAATGATCCTGGTGTCTAATGTTAAAAACATTACTACTTTAGGTATTCGGGCCAAAAACGTCGTTAATTTTCTACATTAAGTTACATGTTTCACATTCTAGTAATTTTAAAAAAAATTATTTAAAATCTAAAACTATATTTAAAAAATACATAAAACTTTTGAAATAGCCCCAAAACTTTAAAAAGCTTCATTTCAACTCCTAAACTTACACCTGACCATTGTCTTTTTCTATCGACGAAGCTCCACCCGACCTCACCTCCCCCGACGATTAATACTCCTATGAAATCATGACAGATCGATGGTCAATCGATGTTTTGTACCCGCAAACCCTAAGATGAAAATTGATCCAACATGATTTCAACGGCCAACATGATTTCAACGGCCAACAGCAACAAATACGACGTATGACTAGGAGGATGACATGGAGTATGTCGACGTCGGTGGGTGTGGTAAGAAATGACGGTGGTAGCGGGTTAGAGTTAGGGATTTATGATTTTTAGGAATTTGAGATTTTTGTAATTTAACAGAAATTAGGGATTTTTATAAATATAATAATACTAAAAAATAAATAAATTTTAAAATTATCATGAATGTGACACGTGTCACTTAATAGAGGAAATTAACGACGTTTACGATCCGAGCACTTAAAGTGATAACGTTTGTAATGTTAGACATCGGGATCAGTCAAAAAATAGTTTAGACACATATTCGTTAAAAGCGGTATAATTTAGAATTAAACCAAAAAATAAATAATTTATGAAAATATGAAAGATATGTTTCAGCTTACCTACATTTAGTGAATAGTAAGTAGAAGAAGGTAATTTGTTGTCCGACTATAGTTATTGTTGTATGATACGGGGCTAGACTATCGGTTAGCTGGTCCATGCGACCCTTAGATGCCTCGCTCAGTTGCTCAGCGTCTAAGTTAGTCTAAACTCCTCGGTTAATGTTGTTATAACAATAAGGACGATGGAAAAGTATAAAAAAATGTAAGTAAGCGTGTATGGGGAAATTTTTGGCACGAATACTTGAGTTTATTCACGCAAAACTCTCTATATCTAATAGAGATGGGGAGACCTCCTTTTATAGTGAAGTCCCCTTACATCTCATGACTACTCCTATTCTAACTACAAGTAAAACTCTTTACTTTTGTTGAAACTCTAATATTTGAGTCTTATTCAAACAAAGACTATGTTATTTGGCTTTATTTTCCAAGTAATGATCGGCCTTAGTAAATGGACAAGCCCTAAGTCAGTGTTGGCCTTGGCCCTCAGTACACCCTTGGTGTGCACAGACCTCGGCCATGTGTGCCCTGGATGTGTGTTGCCCTCGCCCTCAAGTGGCCCCCTTTGTGTTTTCATCTCGGTTCTAGGCCATACCCAGTGTGTGTTGGCCCTGTCCTCGAGTGCGTCCCGTTACTTGTTGGCTAGAGCCCTCGGCTCTATATGCACCTTAGTCTGCGGTGGTCACGACCCTAGGCGACCCTTGTTGTTTGATGGTCGTGCTTGTGGGTAGTTTGGAGCGGGCGTGTCTTGACCCTGTTCGGTGATGTATGTATCTTGGTTTAGACGTTACCCTTATGGGCTGCTTGGGTGGTGTCTGTCGCACCCTAGTGGGTGTTAGTCTCGGCACCACAGTAGGAGCAGCCTGCTTTGTGTTGATTGCAGCCCCATAGGTAGTCTATTGTAGGTCGGCCTCACCCATAAGTTTGCGACCTGAACATTCTCCCCTACCTATTTTAGCGACAACCTCATCACTAGGTTTGCTTTATGGCTTTAAAAGTAGTTCCCAAGGTGGTGTTCACATTTTTTGGAGCATTCTTAACATGTTGAATAACTGTTAAGGTCTTGGTCTCATCTTGATCACTTTGTATCAATGGGACACTATCTTGCCATCGGGAATCCATGATGTTCTTGACATTTGCATAGGGAATGATAGATGCTTTGATATGGATAAGGAAGTTCAACCCAATAACAAAATCAAAGTCATCCATGGGGATTATCATGAAGTCTATATTGTTATTCCATCCTCTAATCTTCAATTCTACTTTCTGCGACATTCCAACGATTGGAACTTCTTCAATGTTGACGATCTTGATTGCTTCCTTTGATGGTTCAATTTTGAGTCCAAGATCGTTGGTGACCCTTTCTGATATGAATAAATCGGTTACCCCGGTATCAATGAAGGAAACTCTAAATCGTTTGACAAGATTGATGTTCACGTATATTAACCCTTGCTTCCGGCTTTAATGTTGTGTGACTTGGAGTGGGTAATTTTGTACCCTTTGTGGTACCCTCCCTGGGTGATCCTTTCGTCGCTTGAAACTTACCCTTAGCTTAACACTTGTAATTGAGCTAAGTTTACATACTTCTTCCTCTGAATTGTCGTCTTCTTTGGCAACGGCTGCAAGTTTTTCAGTGTGGGAGCAATCTCTTGCAAAGTGTCATTGCTCATGGCAATTGAAGCAGCGGATCGATTTGATGTCCCCTTCTATTTTAAATTGTTGTGTCGATAGGTTCTGCCTTTTGTAGGCTCCTCATCATCACTTGATAGGCTTTGTTCTTGGCCTTCATCTTGGTTTCTCTTATTAGAACCCTCGACTTTTGATTTGGGAGGCTTGGGTTTCTTAACACCAAGTTCGATGAGGGATTCGACGGTTGTCAAGGCTTTAGACAATTCTTTGACACCCCTTTTTTCCAACTCGTGTTTTGCCCATGGCTTTAATACGTTCATAAAGGTGAAGAACCCGTCCTCTTCGGTTAGACTCGAGACTTGTAGGCTTAACTCGACAAATTTTGAACGTGCTCCCTTAGAAAGCCTTTTTGCCTAAAACACCTTAGTTTTGATCGTGCCTCATTCTCGGCATGATAAGGGTAAAATTGCTCTTTGAACTCAGCTTGGAATTTTGCCCAGGTTCTAATGGTGGTGCCATCTTGTTTCATCTTGGTGCACTTATGTCACCACCATAAGAGTGTTAAATCAGTTAAGTAAACAGAATCAATGTTTATTTTCTCAATATCATTCTCGATGCCCATGGCTTGAAAGTATTGATTAATGTTCCACATAAAATTTTCAACGTCTTTGGCTGACCTAGTCCATTTAAACTTTTCTGGTTTAGAAACTTCGGCTCGACCTTTGGGGGAGTTGGTTAGCATGCTGCCAGCCACGACGACCTTGCACAAGGCCACCTCGGTCTTAAGCTGCTCGATCTCCTTCTTTAGGTTCTTAACCTCGGCCCGGAACCCTGGTTTTTAAGTTTTTCGACCTCTTGTGTTAAGGCCATGATTTGGGCTTCCAAAGTATCATCTTGTTGGGAAATCTTCGCATATAATCCGTTGAGTTCCACTTGCACATCTTTCTGGATGTTCTCCAAAGCTTCAAGCTTCTCGAGATCTAGTGATCCCAACTTCTCAAGATCGATGGATTATAACAGATCCAAAACCTCTTTGGTCTCTCTCGCAGAGTCCTCAAGTCTGGAGATCTTACTTTGGAGCAATGCGAGCATGACCTTCGACGTTCCTCACTTCTTATTTGTGTCATGAGTCTCAATGCCCTCAAATGTTACTGCCTCGCCACGTTATAAAGCCATCTTGTCTAGTCACGAACTTGGCTTTGAAACCACTTGACACGGGGCTAGATTGTCGGCTAGTTGGACCGTGCAGCCCTTAGATGCCTGTAATACCCCAACCCGTATCCAACCCGGATACGAATCCGAAGTGTCACATTGACCTTTTAAAACATGTACTTATATAAAATAGTGAGTAATTTAAAACTTTTATAACATATAAATGACTAATTTACATAAAAGACATTTTCATTATTACAAAACCAATCAGAGCGTGTATATTTCACTTTATTTATTTACATATAACTATTCGAAACATTTATAAAATTGTTCATAGATTAAACAATATATTCTTTTGAAAACATGCCAACTAGAACTTTATATACTAAAATACATATTATTCACATCTTTTCTGATCTGACCTTTAGTAAGGAGAACTGACTTGTCTTGCTCCACATTGCTCTTTACTCTTCCCGAAACCTACGTGTAAATCACTTACACGCTAAGTCAAAGACTTAGTGAGGCATATAAACATATAAGGTAAACGGTAACTAATAATCATACCTAAACAATTACTACTATCATTTATACCACTCATACTTTTACATGTAACAAATATATGCATACATATATGTCATTATCATTCATATCTCTTATCTCATGTTCCTATGATCTCTTATGTCCATATCATATAACATATACCATAACCAATTGCACATATACATATCATGTCATGTAAACTATATATATATACTATCATTAATTCCTTTCATCATATGGTCTTATAAGTTACCATTTGTACAATCAATATCACACATGAAATTCCACAAGGAAACAAACATATTATCATATCACTTTATTAATATTATCTATTTAATAGCCCATGATACACATGCGTGAACTAAAGATATGCGAGTACATAGAGGTTGTGCACTAATGTTGTCACCACAGCTCATATAATTGCACCGAAGTGCCACATATAATTGCACCGGAGTGCCGCGTAGAATTGCACCGTAGTGCCATATAATAATGTCCATAAGTACCACATATCATTCCTTAAGAATCATATACATATACTAGGGATCAAGTATGTGTCTCACCAGACTTCACACATGTTCCAAAGAATACATATATGTCCCGAAGGACCACATATCATTCCTTAAGAATCATATACATATGCCAAAGATCAAGTATGTGTCTCACCAAACTTCACACATGTTCCAAAGAATACATATATGTCCCGAAGGACCACATAGACCCTCGACTC